AGGGGGTGTAGCGGGGGCAGCCTGGGGATGCAAGGATTCGGGCCGTTCCGTGGTTGAGGAAGAGGCATCTGATTCGATGATCTCGGGAAAAAAGAGAAGGGTAGAGTTGGGCCTAACCTTAACATATTCTCCTTTGGGCTTACCCCCAAGCGTGCCAGCCTTGCGGGAAGGTGGAAGCTGGATTTCGAAATCGCACAACAGGCTGGGCACATGAAGCCATGGAACGCTAGACCGGACATACATGGGCTTGTGTCCGAGAGGCCGCAGGTCACAGAGTACGAAAATATCTTGCCTGGTCGTGTTGCTGCCAGGAAGGGTGGGCGGCCTATCTACTATAACCGTAAGGAAGGAGCAGGAGTCTCCGTGAACATCGAGGTCAGAGATGGGGAAGGTGCAGACGCGTATACTTTGTGTATCGAGCTGTAACCTATCAACTAAGACCTCTTCTAGGGTTCTGTCGGGTGCCTGGCAATACGGAAAAGTGTACCGTCGGTTCTGGTACATGACTGCTGCAGCTTCGCGGTACTCTATGTTGAAGAAGTGGTGCATAGGGCCCCACTCAATGTGTTCTTGCAACAGCTCTTCAGCTCTGCGCCTAGCAATAACTGTATCAAGCGAGCGGACAGCCGTTACAACATCTCCATGATGTAGGGTAATCTCGGCTTGCAGTGGCCATGGATTGGCTCGGCACCCTATATAAAACCGAAGTTCCTCATCCGATTGTGATGTAAGCGGAAGGACAAAACCGGCGAGACTATCGTGGGAAAGACATTTGGGGAGCACGGTGCAGAAATAAGGACCGCCGACTCTGGTCAGGTCAATGAACACGGCTGAATTGCCCATGGCCGTGATGATGCTAGGGTACCTTATTACGTGTAAGAACCCTGCAAATCTCTGTGGCCAGGCTGGGACTACACTATCAAATAACCCCTCAGGAACGCCTATGGAGCAATCTTGAATGGCATCCAGTGTTGGCGTAAGCTGGTGGTGTTTATCCGCCTTGACAGCTATTGCGACAGGACGATAGTGTGGAGTATAGATGTAGACTCCCAGCCAAGTGTCCTGAGTCAGTCTGTCATCATCGACCGGCCAGGGCAGTGACCCTGAGCATACTGTCCGCGCTGCTCGCTCGGCACGATCGGAGTCGGCCCAGGGTAATTCATAATCACATATACCCTCTTGAGGCTCAAAGGGTTCGGGTAAGGCTTCGGGAAACCAAACATTGGGGGGGCCTCCATCACCTGCAGTAGGGGGCCTAGTCATAGCAGCAGCCCGCGAAGGAGTGAGAAACCAGACAGCAGGCAGGTATAGGGCCGGTGTATGCTCCGGAATGGCACCGGCAAACCCAAGGAGCCAAGATCCTAACAAAGACACGAGCCGCGCAACATGACCAGAAGCACGACGTTTGCGTCTGTGTCGCTGGCACCGAGGGTGGGGGACCCAATTCAAGGCTCCACAAGGAGAGGCTGCAAATCCAAGGGGCAGCAGCATGGCAGAACTGACGTGGCGGCTCAAGGCACGCCGCATGGTCCGGCGGAGCACAGGGTGCACAGCGCAGCCAAGAAGGCCGGAATGTAGTAATGCCAGAAAGAGCAACACGAGAAGTGTGCAGAAGAATGGCACCACAAACCTGGCAACACCAGCAAGGGCTGTATGTGAAGTAAGCACTTCTCTGAAGGCCTGGACCCAAGATATTTTAAAAGCGTCGTGTTGCTTGGGTGTGGCGGGCGCCCATGAGCCGCTGTGTGGCCTATCCAGCTCAGTCGAGACGACGCTGGAAAACATAGGGCTATCAAAGCCAGGGCAATCGTGCTGGTAGGCACGAGTCGCAATGCAGGGGAAAGGATTACCAATGTGGCAACAAATCCCCAGCACAGAAGTGGAAAATGAAGGCCGATGCCAGTCTGGGGTTGGAGGGAGTCCCTGAGCCACCGATACTCCTCTTAGGCTCCAACCAGTAGCATGGAAAACATATGCGAGCTCCAGCCAAAAATGGCGAGCATGCAGGCGAAGACAAAGGAGGGCATCTAGGGAAATCCATGGATGCCACATCCTTGTCGAGGAAGAAAGGCCATGGAGAGCCTGGCAAGGGAGATGCAGGGCTCGAAGGCAGTGCAAAAGTCCAAAATCCAATATGACTTTGGAAAGGCTGCGGACACAGCTGGACCGTGAGAGGCAAAACCACGGACGCCGTCGCTGGCATGAAGTTGGAGGAAGTCCCTGAGCCACCGATACTTCTCTTAGGCCCCAACTAAATGCTACCTGAAAATAACTGTGAAACCACAGGAGCTGTCGATCCGAAAGCGCAGAGATGCCTTTGCAGTTACATTCGCCGACGGGGAACGAGGGGAAAGGACTCCAAAAGGAGTCAACACTTCCTCCTGGCCCCACCAGCGAGTAAAGGCAAGGGCGAAGCTGCAGTTTCCCTCGCAGCTCCTGTCTAAGCGTCACTCTAGGAGGCCAAAGCCCGGTGACTGTGTCGGGTCCTCGACGTCGACGGGCATGTCCGAGGGGCAGCCGCTGTTTGTATTCAAAGTAGAGCTGGGTGGTGCACCGTTTTCTACCGCTCCTTGGCTTGCCTGCGGAGGTAGGCGGAACGGTAACATAGCGGCACCTGGGAATTCTGCTTCGCGTCTGTCGTGCAGTTTCTCGGCAAGCGACTTGCTGCCAAGTTCTACTGGCGCTGCCGTTTTGGAAGCGGTCTTTATATCCACTCGCGGTGGTAGGTGCGAGGTTGGCACTCTCGGTCGGCTGGCTTCTCTTTGTCCTGGATGAGCAGCAGGCTTGGCGCTGCGCGGTGTCGTATCGACCGACATCTTCTGCAGAGCTGCTGCTACAGCTGGTGTAGGCGGAGAGATGGTAGGGGCCGGTGAAGGGTAAGCTTCTGCGGGAGGAGAACCATCCAATCCTGGCGGGGCACTGGCAGTGAGGGCGGATGGCGCCGGCTTTTGTAGCAGTGCTGACGGTAGGGGCGATCTGGGTCGCGTCATAGGAGGTCGCTCCGGAGTGTTGTAGGCTGTATGGCTCGGCGTGCCAGCATGTGCATTGGCACTGTACGCAGTGTGGACTGCCTGCGCAGCCTCCAAAGCAACACTGTAGTATCCGGGCATCCCTTCCGGTGTAGACGCAATAATGGCATCCCATTCCGCGTCGCCTTCGTCCTTCTCCTCCACTGGCGCCTGGTGTAATGCTCTCTCGCCTTGGATCACCAGGTCCTGTACTCGCATGGCTGCTTGGCTGCCCGCTTCGGCTGCAGCGTCGAGATCTCGAGCTATTCGCTCGAGGTCGTTGGCATACATCTTCTTCTGGGCAAGAAACTCTTTCTTGGATTTGGCAACCCAAGCGGCCCATGCTGTGTCCTTGGCTTCCTTTTCCGCATGCAATTTGCGGATGCGGATGTCGGCTTTCCGTGTTGCAGTCAGGGCTTTCTGTACTGCAAGCATCACTGATCCGCTCTCTGGCACCTGCTCCTGCTGTTGCTGCTGCTGTGGCTGCTTCCATGGCGCAGCTGATGGTTTCGTCGAGGAAGCCATAGCGTCGTATCTGGGAGCCGATTTGGCTTTGGCCTTCGTCTTCGGATTGGGCGACATTGCCCAAGTGCCAGACCAATAATCCCAGGACTGCTGGCCATGTCGCGAGGCAGGGCCATATCCACGTTCTCCGTCCCATTGCTTCTGCTGTCTGCCCATTAACTCAACGAAGTAAGGGCGACTGTGGTGTGCGGCCAGCAGTTGCAGAGCTCTGGCGGGAGGTGTCAAGCGAAGGGACCGTGCTTTCCGCACGCGCTCGCGAGCTTTGGAACGAGCCTTGCGGGCTCTCCTGTGCCACGTCGGGCTCTTGTTCGCGATGGCGGAAAAGGCGTGGCTTTTGCCACTGGGGTTCTAGCAATTCCTGTGCTACAGGCTCGATCCAGAACCCTATGTAGGGGCCTTAATAATTAGAATATTCGAATATGGTTTAAGGGCAAGTTCTACTATAATTTTAATAGGGGACGCCCCCAAAGCCCTATTCTAATTATTAAAGGCCCCTAAACCCTAAACCCTAAACCCTAAACCCTAAACCCTAAACCCTAAACCCTAAACCCTAAACCGTTAAATTTCTATGGCCCTCCAGACCGAGCTTTTGGGGGAACCCTTCGTTGCCTTCGGAGGCTCCTCTGCAGGCGCCTCCTGGAGCAAGACACTTCTACAGGGTTTAGAGTTGTTTAGGGTTTAGGGTTTAGGGTTTAGGGTTTATGGTTTAGGGTTTCGGGTTTAGGGGAACCCCCCCAAAAGTCACCCTTACATCCTACCTGAACCCCAAATAACCTACCTTTTCAGGAACGCTTTTTTGCTGAAACCATAATCAGGAACCCTAGTAACGTCGGTTTCTCTGGGTCCAGGAAGTTTACAAGCCCTAAGGCAAGGCCTATCAAGGAACCCTTTATTGATCCTTCGAGCCCGCGGTTTTGGAAGAACTCTTTGTCGCCATGGGTTGAGGGTTTCGCCATGGGTTGAGGGTTTAGGATTCATGGGTTTAGGGTTTAGGGTTTAGGGTTTAGGGTTTAGGGCTTAGGGTTTAGGGTTTAGGGTTTAGTTAGGGCTTGGGGTTTAGGCTTTAGGGTTTAGGGTTTAGGGGTTTAGGGTCTAGCTCCAGGGTGCCCCCGTGGTGGCACAGGTGACCATCAACGGCATGCTTTCAAGGAGGACAGCTTGTTGGATTTTAGCACCTGAAAGCCACGTGAAGAATCCTCCAAGCGACGTTTAAGAGGACCAGCCCACTTGTGTGTATGTTGCAGGGATGCCTGAGCAGGGAAACCCAAACATCAGACCTAGAAAACAGCGCAACCCCGAGTTGGCTTACTTAGAGTTTAGAGCTTAGGGGTTTAGGGGTTTAGGGGTTCAGGGGTTCAGAGTTTAGGGTTTAGGGTTTAGGGGGGACTTGATAATCAAAAATCGGGTTTGGGTATGTAGCATATGCATATAGGGACTGTAATACTGTAATCTCGTCGTGGCTTCAGCTTACAGTTCAGAGTCGAAGCACCCCTAGCCCTAACCCCGGAGCCTCAGAAATTGAAGCCTCTGAGAAAGACATCGCCCCGAAACTAAAACGGTAATTGAGAGGCCTTAATAATTAGACTAGGGTTTTGGGGCCCATTATACAAGAATCATAGTAAGGAACCCCAAAATAGTATTGGTAACTATAAAGGCCACGACATTAAGTCACAAATGCCGTGCTCGCGCAAAACACTCTCTCTTCTGCCGCGAAGTGTACATCCGAAAACCGTCATTCTCAAGACCCCAACCCAAAACCCTGGACCTACACAGCATCAAGAACCCAAGACTAGAAAGCCTCAGCATAGTCTCAAGAAGCCACATGTAGAACCCTTCTGGAAAACAGAGCGAACCCGTTATGAAAATACCACAATCATGACAACAGCAACAATAATAGTATCAATAGTTATTAAAAAAAGAAAGAATAACAACAATAAATAGGAATAGCCACAGTTTCCCCCTCCCAAACACTAAATTCCGTGAAGAAATAGCTATTTTTTGCCGTTGCAGGCGAGCGTCCCTCTTCTTGGACTCCTTGCTCGCAGGGGCCTGCGCGCAGCACAAGAGCCCGATGGAGCTAAGGCAGGGCGTTGGCTGGTATGCTTGTGGGTAGTTCTCTAATCTAAATTAGGGTCCCTTTTTTAGGTCCCCAATATAGTACGGCACCCTTATAAAAAAGGACCCTAAAAGGGACCCTAGTTTAGAGAACTACCCTTGTGACGCTTCCTAGGGTCTCATCGGAGCGAGAGCGCAACATGAAAATGGACATGACCTAAGACGGAACCCTAATTTACAGAACTGCCCACATGACAGAAGGCACTTACGTTAAACCACAAAATCCAAACTCCTGCGCCCCAAAACCCGGAACTCCTAAACCATAATGTAGGGGCCTTAATAATTAGAATAGGGTTTTGGGAGGGGGTATATTCTACTATACTTATAATAAGGAGCCGTAAGAATAATATAGGTAGTTCTTTCGGCCCCAACATTACAACTGTGGACAAACTTCGCTTCCACGGCGTTCCAAGGCCTTCGTTGTCTTCTTGGTCTCCCCAGCCGCCTGCACGTGGCAGACTGTGCCTTGCCTTGACACCAACTCCTGAGGCCTAAACCCAGAACTCCTAAACCATAAATAAAATAGGGGCCTTCATAATTAGAATATTTTGGGGTCCTTTATAGTATAATGATAATAAGGAGCCTCCAAAAATAATATAGGTAATTATTGAGCCCCCTACATTGTTATAATGAGAGTATAATGGGCCCCAAAACCCTATTCTGATCATTAAAGCCCCTATCTTAAACCCTGACGCCCAACCACTCAACCCTGAAAGTCTGTGTGTCAGGGCTTGATCTGCAAAGCCGTCAGAGCCTAGGCATAGGCTTCGAGGGTTCGGGGTTAGAACGTGGCCGGAAAAGCCACACCAAAGCCCTAAATCCGTAAACCCAGAGCCCTAAACCGTGAAACCTCACAGGTTCTCCATGGAGCGGCGGGGCCGGTGCTCAAAAGGGCCTGAAGGTCAGACGCTTCAAGTCTCGTTTCTTTCTGAGAATCTCTTGATCTGTTATGGGTCTTGATAGAATGCTCCTATGTTGCTCGAAACGTCCTTGTACATTAGGTTCTCAAGTTTCCAAAATGGCCGTTTCAACAATACTTTCACCGAGTGTCGTATCTAACCGCGCGCTCCCGTACCGAACCGAACCGCAACCTCTGGGACTGCACCAGACCGAACCGAAGCCCTCCCACCTCACCTCTCCCCTTCCCACCCCCCACCTTTCAGCCCAGCCAACCGCCTCCCACCCCCACCTCTCACTTCCCACCTGCCCCCCGCCACCTGCCACGTGCCACCGACCGCCCGGAGGTGGGAGGAGATCGGAGGGAGGACCCCCGAAGCAAACCGCAGGCAACGCCAGCCGTACCGAACCGAACCGTAACAGCCGTAACACCCATGGAAAAGGCTTTTGCACAAGTCCACCTTGGTCGTCTTCTTCGTCTCGGTCGCCTGCGATGTTGCTGTAGTTCGGTTCTAACTGTGTCAGGATTCGGGGTGGAGGACTTCCCACCCAACATGGCATAATGCACTCGTGCATGGGCGTGTGTCTTTGTGCGCTTATACTTACTTCCGTTCATGAGTGCATATACAAAGAATAAAATCAAGTGTTTGTGCATTTGTGTATGCAAAAACATGCACCTCTCTCAGCAGCCGCACGTATGCATACTTACTATGCACCTCTCCAGAGAGCCGCATGTATGCGTGGACGCATGCATGGATGCGTGGATGCATGGTTGTATGTACATGTATGTACATGTATGTGCATGCATGTACATGCATGTACATGGTTGTACAGGTATGTACAAGTATGTACATGTATGTACATGTATGTAAGTAATCCTTGCATGGATGGATTGTTGGACGGATTGACGTGTATACATACCTACACCGTGTTCAGGAAGAGAGAGCAACAGAGAAACACACTGAAAGTTAAGCGCCGAGGCTCTTGACATACCTTGACGAGTCATCCTATCGGCATTAGTACCCATGCCCAACCTAAACCCTAAACCCTAAACCCTAAACCCTAAACCCTAAACCCTAAATAACCCCGAAGCCCCTTAAACCCCAAGCCCTAGCCCTGAAAGGCGATACACACTCGAGACTGGAGGCACCAAGCTACCTTTAGGGTTTAGGGTTTAGGGTTTAGGGTTTAGGGTTTAGGGTTTAGGGTTTAGGGTTTAGGGTTTAGGAACCCAAGTCCAAGAGCCGCCAAAACCTCTCAGATTCAAAGGCGGGCTCTCTAAAAAATTCTCAGATCTCCCCCGTCATGATTGGAGGAAAGCTTTGGGGAATAATGTCTTATAGATATCTTAGGGTTCCCTGAGAGTCATATTTTGAACTCTTCAAGCTCTGATATCAAGACCTCAACCATCAATCCTAAACGTGCCCCAGAAGGCTGCAAACACCCTTACTTACTGAAGGGAAGGATTTCCTTCGTAAGGGCCCCGCATTTAGTGGGAATCTGAGTTTATCTCTGGCCCCGGAAAGCCTTTTCCTTCTCCTTCTCGGGCTTCTTCGCCGCATCTGCCACCTGCGGCGAGAGTTGGAGGTTCGTGGAGAGTTTAGGGCATAGGCTTAGGGTTGAGGCTTGGGATGAGGGTCTCGCATGCGGACGGCTCTCAGAAACTGAACTTGCCAGCCTTGCTTGCTTTCTTCGGCACTTCCTGGCCCACGGGCAGACGTCCCTATGCCATGAACTCGGAGTGAAGGAAAGGGGGCTTGCAAGAGTAGGAATAGGTCCTATGGTAAAGGCGTTCACTGAGATTCAGAAGGATCAGGCGACTTGTTCAGCGGCTTGAGGAATTTAGGATTTAGGGTGACAGGCTGCAGGTTTTAAGGCTTGGGGCAGGGGCTTATGGCTTATAGGAGACTTCGTGGAGCAGAACATGTCCCCTTCCTCGGAACCTAATTTTAACTCGAATGCAACAATCCTCCAAGAAAGTGAGCCTTGCAATTAAGCCCTCTTCCGAAGTTTATACCCTTCGCTTCGGTTCACTCAAGAGCCAGCCTCGATGCTTTTTTGCACACACACACACACACGCGACAAAAACGGCACCGACAACAGAGAATGAGATATGGGGGTTTCCGAGAATAGGGGACCCTAATATAGTACCCTAAATAGTAGGATCCTTATTATAAGGAACCCCAAACTAAGGTACACCAACGAGTGCAGAGACGGTCCAGCTCTGCATGCTGCGAGCTTGCCTTGATAATTAGAATATGGTTTGGGGTTCCTTTAAAGGGTTCCTTTAAGGGATACTATAAGGGATCTACTATAAGGGGCTTAGGGTTTAGGTGCCTCAATAACTAGAATAGAGCTTTGGGCTCCTTTATAGTATACTTGAAATAATAGCCCTAAGAAATGATGTTGGTAATGATTTAGGCTTCTACGGTACTTGCCAGGTCCGCCCCGTCCTCCGCGGTCCTCCATCCCCTGAAGCTTAACCGGCCTAACCTCATCCGCCCTTCTTGAACCCGAAACCGAAAACCTTAATGTCGCGACAAGCATTAAATTGCTTACGACGACAGAATGAGAACCCTAAGCCCCTTATAGTAGATCCCTTATAGTATCCCTTAAAGGAACCCTTTAAAGGAACCCCAAGCCCTATTCTAATTATCTATCCGGGTTACCGGGAGAGTTTGACAAAGGCCCGAGACTGATTACGAAGTCCCTCGCCGGGTTTACGGGGCTTAGGGCTTAGGCCTTCGGGGCTTGGGGCTTATATAAACCCTAAACCCCTAAACTCCCAAACCCCCAAACCCCATAAACCCCTAAACCCCTAAACCCCTAAACCCTAAACCCCTAAACCCTAAACCCTGAGGGGTAGGCTATGAACCACCGCGGCCTCCCCGGACACCCTACGCTAAACCCTAAACCCTAAACCCTAAACCCTAAACCCTAAACCCTAAACCCTAAACCCTAAACCCTAAACCCTAAACCCTAAACCCTAAACCCTACGCACGAAGCCGTCAGCCGAAGAGCCCTTCCACCGAGCATGAACGAGAAAAGCACAAGACAAGCCAGGAGTATGGCTCTTAGGTTTTTAGGGGTTTTAGGGGTTTTAGGGGTTTTAGGGGTTTTAGGGGTTTTGGGGGTTTTAGGGGTTTAGGGGTTTAGGGGTTTCGGCTCAGGGGATCCCAGGAGTCGCCCGCCCAAGACCACCCCCCTCAAGCTT